TAAGTCTTAATAATAAAAATGTTCTAAAAGTGTTGAAGACTGAAATAACTCGCTTCTGCTTTCTTTACCAGCTTACCTTACCAGCTTCCCATGTAGTCTTCAGCCCATTTTGAGTTGGGTAATGCTATATTTTTTTCTTGAAAATTGAAGTATTAATTCAGTAATTGCCTTTTTAATTTGTGGAAGGTCTTATGCAGGGATTCAGCAGTGATCTTCTTTTTTGTCTTTTCCTTCAATGTGTAATCAGGGCTTTGGAAGGGAAGTGATGAGCCACAAAATGCAGAACTCCCAGATTGTTGATGATACTTAGTTAAACCTTTCCAATGGCGAGGATAATTTCTTCTCTTTTGTAAGGATGGCAAGGATTTACCTGTCTGTTTTACAGACTTTGACAATCATTTGGTAAGCAGCATGTATTACCACAAAACATGAACAATTTTTTTCATTTAATCTCATCTTAATTCTTAATCAAGTTTAGTGTAACATGCCTTGCTCATTGAGACTACTGTACATGTATTCTACTTTGAGTTTTTGGTGATTAGGCTCTATGTTCTCTAAACTTAAAATTTCCTGCAAGTGTCCCACTCTCTGAACTTCATAGGCAATATATTTAATAAAAATAGTTACTGTAAAAGAATCAACAACTTCATTAAATTCATACCAGCAACATCAATTACAACGTTAATTGTAGCAACAAATACATATTTAAATGTTTTTGTTTGTGGATGAGGGAAATCAGAATCTCAAACAAAAATCAATTTATATTTCTAGTCCTCTCAGCTTCAGCAAAAGGGCTAGAAAAAGCTTCCATCCTAGTCTATCCTCTTCTAACCACCTCACTGAGCTGGTTAGGAGATAAGGAGGGCATAGAAAGCTAGTGAGCAAAGGACTGGAAGTACTACTCTTTTTAAAACATTTTTAAATGAAAGTGACATAGAGTGTTGCATGGTTTATGTTCAACTCAGTGTTTCTATAAGACATTAGGTACACCCAGACTATTCCTGCAGATCAGATCTCCTTGTGCTTGTAGGTCTGTGGATGGCAAAGTTGTTAATCTTGAGAGCACTGTTGGGTTTGATATTGAAATGTTTATTCCTGCCAAGGATTGCTGATTTTGAAATCTGGATTTCCCCAAGCTTCACTGGAGAAGAACTAGGTTCCTGTTTCATTTCAGATATATAGGAGGTCTAGAGTGCGCTTTACTCTCTAGAGTAAATGTATTTATTTGGATTTAGGCACCTGAATTCCGCCCACAAGTTTTTGTGGCTACGTATCCAAGTATGTAGAAGTAGAGAAGAGATCTGATAACAGAGTGTTTGTTGGTTTACCTGTGAGCAGCACATCTTTTGGGAAGAATGCCTTATGGTTTTGGCATAGTAGATTTTAGAGAGGCAATAGATTAAAAAATAGTAAAGTACTAGGAGTTTAAAGGGCCAAGAAAATTTTGTATAATAACGCTGTCACTATCTTTCTTCCTGCTTCCCTTTTTCTTGTTCTCTTCCCTCTTCTTTCTGTTCTGTTCTCTTATTCTTTTTCTGTGCCAGTGGGACTAGCCATAATTGAGGAAATTTTTAGTATGTGGAGAGGATCTAATATAAAAGTGTTCACTGAGAATTGAGATCTAACCTAATGATGCTAGCTCTTGGAAAAGATCAAAGGGGTCTTGCAGAATAACACAAGAGGAATGGTGCTGTGAATGTTTCAAAGGCAGAGATTCCTGATGATGAAGTGTATGGTGCAAAAATTCTTTATTGTTGACAAGTAGAAAAAACTTGGCTTGTTTTCTGTCGAAGCAGTATATGGAGTTGTGATCTGTGCAAAACAATTGTGATAGAAGCTTCAGACTCTTCTAATGTTTTAGAATTAATTTGGTGCTTGTGCAGTGTTGGGTGAATTCCTATAATGACAGAAATAATCAAAATTGAAAATAAGTGGTATTTACTATTCTGCACTGTTGGTGTGCATTATCCCAGTCACTGTTGATCAGACACATTACTTGCAGCCTGTTGGTGCTTTTAGTAATCAGATACCAATTGGAAGTTGTTTCTAGTGAATAGTTAGATCTGGCATTGCTCTTGGCAGAGTTTTGAGAGGGTGAGAGTGAAAAGATGTGGGGACGTAAAATGAAGACAGGTAGTCTGGAAGAAGCAGAATGCAATTGTGTTGCTTGGGGGTTTTCAGTTGGTTTGTTGAGTAAATGGGGGCTTGGGATTTTTTTGACCTGTCAGTTTACTTTAAGCAATTATTACTTGCTGATTTTTGAAAGAAGGGGAGAAAACAATGCATATGTATGGGAGTACATTATCTGGTAAAACACAAAGCAGTTCCTGTAACCAAAGGAAATAAAACTGTATGTGTGTATGTAGATAGGGTTTAAGAATCTGGAGTCTTTTCAGTCCTTTTTTGTCTAGAAAAAGCTATTTAAACCATAGCAGTGTTAAAAACACATTATCTGTATTTTATCTAGTATGTCATTATTTCTCAGTTACTACAACTTCCACTCCTAATTTCATCTGATTGAAGAGTCTTTTGGAAAGAAAGTAGCAGGCATTAGCTTGGGGTTTTCTGGTTTAGACACAGAATCTCGGTCTCTGACCTTGAAAGATAAATAGCTGTGCTGTACACCTAAAGGGTCGAGGCCTGTTGGTCCACAACATCAATATTAGTTTAATTTCATATGGTAGAATTGGTTTTTTTTTCAACAGAGTTTTTCATAATTTATTTTCAAATTGTAGCTTGCCCTCCATGTTTGTTATAAAGTCAAGGAAGATTGTTGCCTAGTCCAGAACTAAAGGATGTATGGAGGGTGCTCAAGGAGTGCGTCACAGTTATATAATAATGGAAGCTGTTGTCCTCACATAACTGCAGTGTTGGAAAGTGTGTAGTGGATGAGACACAGAATTGTAGGAGGAGAAAAGAATATTCCTTAGGAGACATATTTGAATTGTGGGGCTAAATGATATCCTGACGTAGAAGACAGCGTTCCTATAAAATGCTGAGAAAATAATTTTAAATGTGGGTTTTCAAAGTATCTTCTAAAGGGCAATGTTTTTTATTTAATGGTGCTAAACTAAACATCTGATTGTAAGATTTAAAAAAAATACCAAGGATTTGCAGCTGCAATTGAAGTCACCGAACATATCCTGTTATGTTAAGATGCTAGATCCTGTTGAAAAAAATGTACCAAAGATTTCAAATAGCATACTCAGGATTAGTGTGCACTATTGCTATTTTGGTCTTTCTCTATTATGATCTCTGTTCCACACGTGAAAAAAAATTGCCCCTGGTCACTATCCAAAGGAAAGGTGTTGATAATAATCTGATTCTGTGAAGTGCTTCGATTTCTGTTGTTCAATTCAATAGAAAAAATTCACAATGAAGTAATAACTTAAAACTGTCCAGTAAATATGTTCCGGAGTCACGTACAGAGAGGAATATAAGGAACCATGGACTAGCTGCATATTCAGTTTTCTTTGTCTAGTTGCCAGGGAGGTGCTATTTACACTGTCTAGCTCTAGGCATGTGATTTAGGAACTCTGAGTCATTGTCTAGGAGTGTTTCGTTAGGAGTGTTTCATTCTCACAGTTATATAGAGCTTTTAGGCTCTTAACTGTTGAGAGATCTGAATTAAATGTCCTAAGCTGCCCAGTGGAAAAAGTATGAAAATGCTTTGGTTCCCTGCCCCTCTCACTCTTTGCCCTTTGAATTTCCTTTCTCGAAAATCTAGTATGGAATCTCTTGGCTAAAGATAATATTATGATTAAGAAGCATGGTAGAGTGGAATATTGACTGCATGTTAAATATTTATTTTCATATTTCTTACTTTGGAGTATATCTGCTTTTTCTTTTTTCCTTTTTTTTTGGTATATATTTTTAATATATAAATGTCTACAGTGGTGAAGAGGCAAAACTGCTAGAAGATTCTGTGCTGCATGTTCACTTTTACCTTTTGTAGTCAATTTTGGAAAATTTTTAGTGTGTCTTAGTGTCTATTTAGATTTTTAGTCACTGAACCCTGTTTATAGAGATGCTCGCTGTGGTATCGTGTGAAGGAGATGTGCATCTATTTTTGTGAGTTTTATTTTCTGTCCAGTGTTAAGCATCTGCTTGAGCTGGGAGCCTGCACTCCCTGTTTAGTTAAGTAGGAGAGTATTTGTAGAGATATTCAGAGTATCTGTTTAGGAAGCTTTCGGGGTTTTTTGAAAGTATACAGCAGCTAGATCCTTACTCAATATTTAAGACCTGTATCTGCAATTGGAGGGTGTAAATATCCCTGTGAGTATGTGTGGCCATTCTTGGGTTTGGTGGAGAGGAATTGCATAGAACATCGTCTTGCTCATTCAAATTAAAGCATGTATTTCAGATTTTCCAATATTTTCCAGTATTTTCCTAAAGACAATGGACACACATTAATCAGTACTATGCAGACAGTGTGTGTATTATCTCATTCTTTTTTAGCAAGTTCTGGTAAATTTTCTCAGAGTAAAATTCCTTATCTTTCCTTCCTTAGATTTTAGAGTTACATTGTTTGCAGAGCCTGATGTCCTTTAATCTCTTAATTCAGGATATTGCATTTTAAATAGCATGTTACATGTTATAAATTCACCTTGAATTATGATAGGTAATATGGTTGTAAATAAAAATTTAAAAAATAGGTTATAGTTAACATAATCAAATGCAAATCCTTTGCATTTGTAGCTAAATGTATTGCTGGCAATGTCCTAACATGATACTCTGTCCAAAGTATTGGAAGCCAGTTAAAGAACGTTAGAGATTTCATTTTGTAAGTAAAACTTTTAGATACTTGACATTCCCCATTTTTAGTACTAAATGAAACTAAGCACAGAATACAACTTAATATAATTATACAACAAATATTAAATTAATTCCTTTTAACTTAAAGTAAGAACTTTCTCCTGCCCATGTAGTACAGATTATAGAACTTCAGGGTAGTTGTTTTACAGTATGTTGCACTCAGTTGTGCAAACTTATCTTTTTAGGGTCAAAGAAGAGCAAAAACCACAGCCGACACAGTAAGTAAAATATCTTAAAACTGCAGTAGGCTTGACTTTTCTACCTTTGCCATGTTCTGCTTTCTGCACCTTTGATGGTATTAGCTTTCACTAATACCTGATAGGCTGCAGGTAGTTTGTCATCTGCTTCCTGACTGGCTTGTAAGAGAGCTGCCTGCAGCTTCTTACTTCATCCACGTTAGCTGGATGTAGGTTCTTGCTGTCTGCTTGTGAACTGTAAAACTTTATTTCCCTTACACCCTTAGTGGCTGACTTAGTATTGCAGTTAACATTCCCATTGGCTATAGCTTTTCCGCCTGTATATTTCTATTAGCATTGGATAAGAAAACATTTAAACTAGTGTGGTTTCATTGGTTATTCAGTCACATTATTTGCTTATTTAAACAGGTGGTTTCCCTTTAGTGGGATCACTGAGCTGGTAAATAACGTTCTTCAACCACAGCAAAAACAGCAAAATGAAAAGGAGCCCCAGACGTAAGTAAGCTGCTCTCTGTAGACTAAGTAATATCTGTTTAGCGTTAAAACATACTGGAGAGTATGTTTAAAATAATTGTCCATTCAGAATATCCTGCTGAGGGCATTTTACAAGCTTGACACTGTTTGCTTTTGAACCCCTCATTTGCAAAGGGAAAACTGAAAATTAGGTTGTACTCTCCTTATTGGTAACTTAAGTGGTTACATTAGAATACAATCTGAGGAGTTACTACTACTCCATTTGCTTTTTTTTTTTTTTTTTTTTTTTTTTTTGCAATCTCCCCAAAAAAAAAAAAAAAAAAAATTTTTTTTTTTTTTTTTTTTTTTTTCTGCAAATGCTCCATACATGAAATTGCCAGTTAAGTGGTGTCTTTTCTGTGCATGAGGAGCTGGAATGATAAAATCATGTCGTGTTATATATATATAGCATGTCTATGCACATGCATGGAACTTGTGATATTGGTCATGCATAGAATGCTATACAAATCTACATAATATGTATGAAGAGCTTTTTAAAGGATGAGGAAAATGTCATTTCATTTTTTTTTTTCATGCTTCTAAAATATCTGTAAAGTTTCAAGACTTTAGCAGATATGAGGTGAAATCTTGGTTGTGTCAAAGCTGAGGGAATTTTGACTTTGATAGGACCAGTATTTCATCCATGGACCTTTTACAGTGCTAGGCCAGTATGAGAGCCATATGAATTTTTTTTTTTCTTTTCTTGCTATCTGAAAATTTTAAGATATAACAGAAACTGGCAAAGCTAGACATTCAATCTTAGAGTAGAACTTAAAGAATGGAGCTGAAAATATTCTTTTCATAATGAGAAACTAAAAAAGTTTTATTATTTCAAATTTTCAAATTCTTAAAATGTCACTTTTGATATTATTTAAGCTTTAAACAGTTAAGTTGCTGTCTTTTCTTTCTTGTAAAGGGGAATGCCATGTAAGTTCACATGATAAAAGAAATACTTGCTTTTGAACCCATGCATAACTGGTTAAAAACATGCATATTGTTTGTTGTTAATTTTTTCCAGGTAGAATCAGTTTCAGTTTATTTTTAAATATGTATATTTAAGTGGAGTTTCATATTTGCAGGGCATGAAAGCTGTGAATTATTTTTTGAGAATAGACAGTGAGAAATTTTCACAAAATTAAATGGAGAAATAGGCTATAAAATTTATATTCTGTAAAGCAATGTATTATTCTGAGCTCTGTTTCTGTATCCTTAAGTTCTTATAAAATTGCATATAATACTAATAGTGAAGTTTTTCTGTATTGGTTATTGTTAGATACTGGCAATATTACATTTTGTTCACAACACCTCAGTACTACTTTTGTATTCCCAGTTTCCTTAATGTATCAGAGTTCGATCTGCTTACCAGTGTTGTACGTATGAAGCATATGGCTTTGAAGAAACTGAAAATACTATATACTCAGTGTGAACAGTTGAGTTACAGTTGCCAAGAAGTATTTATAAATGGTTACTGTTATTATGGAAGGATATTTTTGAACAGTGATCTCTTTGGGAATCCGCTTTGTTCAGTGTTTTTATTAAATAACTAAGAAACAAATTAAGTTGTACACTCATTGAATTTACAGATGGCACAAGACGGGATGGGAGGAGTGTAATATCTAATAGCAGGATTATGTTCCAAAATTATCCTGAAAAATTCAAACTATGGTTATGATGCCATTGAAAATATAAGTGCAAGGTGATGTAGGTATTTATGTGTTTGACATAGGATAGACAAAAATGGTATGGGTAGTAGTTCTTTGACAGAGAATCTGGGAGCCATAATGGTATGTAAGTTTGAGCAGGAGCTAGTACTGTGAAAGAAATAAGTATCATACTGTAATGTATAGACACTAGCCTGGCAGTGCTGTGAAGAAGTTTTCTTCTCTGCTAAGCTTTAGTAAGGTTTCACCTGGAATAGCATGTTCTTTCTTAGACACCATCCTACAGAAATGATGTGGAGCAGTTGGGTTTCAGTGGAGAGGAATAAGAATGAATTATCAGATGTGTAAGAAACACGGCATGTATAAGGAAAGATTTAAACATTTGAGGTGATTTAGCCTCCTGAAGAGAAAATCCCGGAGGATGGTGATGGATAAATCTTTAATTATGCAGAAAATTGCTGAAAAGTGGAAGGAAATAATCTCTATGCCTCTGGTGGGGAAGGAGTAAACTGAAGTTGTATCAGGGAGGGTTCAGCTTGGTAGGGAAAACTTTTTAATAAAAGAAAACGTAAAGTGCTTGCATAGTTTGCCTAGGGCTTGTGTGGAAGTTTTGTCTCTGAAAATGTTAGGGAGCAGGCTTGGCAAATATCTATTAAAAGAGACACAAGTGTAGCTGATCCTGTGCTGGGACAAGAGAATGGACTAAGTGACTTTTAAAGTGTCTTCCAGCACTCTTTATTTGTGATATGTTCATTAATAAATTAATGAAGCTGATTTATTTTTGCAGTTATAGTAAACTGTTAAGGAAAAAATAGAACAGAAATACTAATGGTGCAACTTTATTTAATTTCTCTTTCTGACTTTAATGGCTTGCAGGGAACTGTTATACCTAGGAACATTGTAGGGCACTGGGGAGTGGCATGGGACTCTGTATGACTGAAGAAATTTTTACCACTATCCATATGTATTGGGGTGTTTTCCACTTGAAGTCACTGTCATCTCAGTCTGTAATGGATTTCAAGCTACATCTATGTATCCAACTTTTCTGATGAAAAACTTATTTACAGTTATCTGGGGGGGACAAAATACAGTGGAAGGAGGCAGAAAAGGAATCATAGTAGTTATTGAAAACATAAGGTATCATGTTACAAATTCCATTTTTGCTCTGGTGGAAGTATTTTTGACCATGCGTCCTTACTGGCCAGGGGCAAGATTAGTCCCATGGACATGAATTCTGTACCACAGAATCACAGAATGGTTGGCTTCAGAACTTGGTGAAAATGAATTCTACAGTTTAACTCTGTGCTGTGTGGAGGAGTTGTTAGCCTTTGTTTGCCTTAAACCTGCTGCGTGTTAATTTCATTGGGGTGTACTAGTCTTATGTAATTTCTTAGATACTTGTCTATGCTATGCATAAATTTTACACATTTCAGTTATATTCAGTTATATATTCAGTCTATTATATTCCATACAGTCATCCTTTTAAGCTGAAGAATCAGATGTTCTCCTTCTATGAAAGGCACTCAGTGCTTCTGATCATCCTTGTTGCCTTGCGTCCTTTTAAAAATTCTGTTAGATCTTTTTGAGTTAAGGATGACCAGTGTCACTCACAGTGTTCAAGAAATGAGAACTCTGTGATTTTGTACAGTGACTTGGGAAAGAAAGTTTCTGGTGTTTGCTGCTTAAAGACTTCCAAATGTTGAAAAGATGGCATTTTTCTTTCCCCTTTTCCCATGAACAATTTTTTTTCATTTTCAGGCTGGAAGTGAATCTCTGGTTGGTTTTGTTGCTTGCTAAGAACTATAAGATGACTACTATTGACTTTGGCTGCAGAAATTGAGCCTTTCTTCTAGGATTGATAATTATTAATGAACGGTAGACAAGATACAGGCAGCATCAAAAGCCATTAAGCATACTGCCTTTTGTACTGAAGATATTTCAAAATATACATACTATAATATTACCTTTTTATACATTCACTAGACTAATTGTAGGAGACATAAAAAATGTACATTGCTTAGCACAACAGGAGGGATTTATTTTCTGCTAAAAATAGCTTGTTAATAAATGTTATAGGGAAATGAAGATTGAAAATTACTGTAAAATGGTACTTAGTGAAGCCTTTTCTGCATGTTGTTCTGTAAACTAAAATTAATTTTTCTATTGGTAGACCACTCCAGCAAACATTAAAATTTTCAGTAAAATTCCTTCTCCTGTAGTCTTGAAGAGTTTCATAAACAACTGTAATTGAAACAAATTATCCATCAAAAATGCTTGATTTTTTTACATTTTAATTCATTTACTAGTTGAAATGCAAAATAATACTGAATTTTCATAATACATACTAATTCTCTGTGATCATACACATAGTTTTGTTAACACACCTTGTCCTGTTGGTATAAAATGGCTAAACATAGTGGAAAAGTTTTCAGGCTATGAATGTGTGTAGTGTAAAGAACAGGTAGTGTATTTATAAAGAAGGCAGTGTCATTATTCCACATCTCCTTTAAGGCACTGTTGCATAAAGTTGTGCAAAAGAGCAGAAGCATAGTAAGATGCAGCACATACAACACTTTTTTTTGGGTTTATGATGCTAATTCAGTCTTACTAGTCACCAAATTCAGCATTTGACAAGTAGACTTTATTAGGTTAGATGTGTTATTTTTTTTCATAAAATTAGAAATGTCTGGTAAGGAAATATTACTTGATATTTTAGTCAGTGCTGAATCAAAGCTATCTTTGTAATAGATTGCTCCATTTATAAGAATATCTAATGAATTCTAGTTAAAATAGATTGGCATTTCTCAAATGCTTAACATAAATGAATGGATCATTATTTTTGTGTTTTAAATTTACTGTGTAAAGAATATCTCCACCAACAACTACGTAGCTTTGAATTTCTTCAGATTATCTACTACTTCAGATAGTGCACTATCAAGCCCACATAAACAATTATTTAATAAAAATTACAGTATATATTGTCAGAAGATTTATTTGTAGTCTCTGTAGTTCCTGTTGAGAATGTTTGTTTTTTTTAATTGAACCTGTTGAAAACAACACATGCTACACTCCAAGGAATATTTTTCTTGAAGAGCAAAATATGCCTTTGCAGCCAATACACTTGTGGCTTTGAAGTCATGAGAATTCTAGCACTCTGTATGTTTATTTTCCTAAGCAGTAAGATGAAAAGAAAACAGAGATTAAATGAGCTAAAAATAACGTTGTAGTTTGCAGGATAGAAAAAGAGGTAGATTTTAGCTATATTAAAGTAAAATATAAACCCACAAAATATCTTAACTATAAAATTGTTTTTGTCTCAGT